GGAGGGCGGGTCCGGGAGCGCCTCGCGCCCGGCGCCCCGAGGGAGGGTTTGGGGCGATGGTTTCCGCGCTTTCTCTCGGCCCATCACGCAAACAAAGCGCCCCCACTCCCGGCGATCAGGTGACGCGGTGAGTGACAGAAAAGTAAAAGTACCTGCAGTCGGCCAGGGCTTTCGTCGGGAGGCTTCCTGATATTTCAGGATTCACGCGTAACTGTGCAAACTCCTGCACATGTATGTTACGAAATGGGATCACACTATTGCTTGTGAAAACTGACTCTGATAAAACAATATCGTGATGAAATGTACATACATTAACCAAATAATAGATAAGCGTTTACTGTTTTAACCATTTTAAAGTGTGTAATTCAGTGTTATTAAGTTAATTCGTACTGTTGCTTATTGGAAAGTTATGCTATCTTCAAGTTGTGTAATCAGTTTTTTCAGATACTGGTTAATTTTGGTGCTCGCATTCTGATACCACAAAAACATGTTTCCAAGTGTCATTACAAGAAAACATTGTTTGCAGTTTATTTCACCTAATACACACTGCACTTTTTCCAGTGTTTTAAGATGGAAGATTAGGTTACTCAGTTGAGATCTTTCTTTACATGTACATATATGAATAAAGCTCTGTACATACTTTCCTGTGTTCTCAGATGTTTTCTCAGTTTACCCCCAAATGTGACAATCTAGCCCTACCTGAGACTGGCAGGCGCCACTGTGCAGATGCTCATGGGCCTCTTCTGATACATCCAAAGATGATCCAAACTAACAGGGTCAAGGTCCACCACCATTCACATTGCTCCCGAACACTAATTTTGGTTATTTCAGTCTCTNCATACATCCAAACATTGTCCGAACCAACAGGATAGAGCTCCACCACCATTCACATTGCTCCCGAACACTAATTTTGGTTATTTCAGTCTCTTGCCAGTGACGTCTGATGACCAGCAAATTCCATTGTCCACCACAGTGCTGAAAAGATTCTCTGACATCCCAGCAGCAGCACAGCTGACAGAGGCTTGGCTTGCACTCTGCTGTAGACCCTGGACAGGAGCGATGCCTCCAGGCAGGTGGTATGCTGTGCGCCCAGCTCAGGCCCAGGCTTCAAGAGAGCGAGGGCGCCTTCAGATGGTAAAGAAGGAAGAAGAGGGTGAAGGCTGCACTTCTGTGCAGGCTCCTAGGCCCCAGACGCTGAACCGTCCTGGCCAGGAGCTGTTCCGCCAGCTCTTCAGACAGCTTCGCTACCACGAATCTTCTGGGCCCCTGGAGACTCTGAGCCGGCTCCGGGAGCTGTGCCGCTGGTGGCTGAGGCCCGACATTCTGTCTAAGGCCCAGATCCTGGAGCTGCTGGTGCTGGAGCAGTTCCTGAGCATCCTGCCCAGCGAGCTCCGGACCTGGGTGCAGCTGCATCACCCTGAGAGTGGTGGGAAGGCTGCGGCCCTGCTGGAAGAGCTGCGGAGAGACTTCAGTGGGACACCATTGAAGGTGAGTGTGAGCAAGTGTGCAGGGCCCAGTGACCTCTGCCTGCGGGTGAGCCAGCTTGTTTGGCGGTAGGGTTGGCCTCTGAACCCTCAGCCTTGAGGAACACAGGGGAAGCCTTCCCTTGTCATTCCCATGGCACCTGAGCATCAGCAAACTAGACCCTGTCCCAGGACCTTAGAGCAGGCAGCCCTTCCCACCTGCCCAGAGGACGATTGCTGCAGGAAGGGGGTTCGCAAGGATCCTTAACTAACAATGACACGTTTTTAGACACAGTGACTTAGTTTATATAGAGGCTGTCTCCACATCTTATCTTATTGGACCTGATGCTGACTGTAAGGTAGGGTGATGTCTCTTGCTTGTAAGGGGGACTCGTGGCCCCTCGGCACAATAAGACCTAGAAGAGCAGTCTCTGTGCACCAATCTGCTTTTTCTCAGTAAGCCTTTGAGGATTTGTTCTGTGCAGGGATGAGACTTCATTCCACACTGAACGACCTCAGTGTTCTTGGCCACGTTGTCCCTTTCAGAGCCTCAGTTTATTGAAAAGAAAATGCAAAACTGACCTAACAATGAGCAGTTGTTCAGTATGCATTTGATGAGTGCCTACCTTGGGCTTGGCCCTGGCCTTGGTGCTGGAAGCGGAGCTGGCTGTCCCAGTGCCTGCAGCAGAGCAGCAGGTCAGTTCAAGTGCACTCTGCCTCTCCTGCCCCCACAGGCGAGCTTCTCAGTTTTAAAAATAGCATTTATCATATTTGTGGGCTTTGTTTTTGTGTGTTTTTTTTTACATGTTCTTATTGGTGTGTGCGCTGATGGGGAATCAAACCGTGACCTCCTGGTTCATAGGTCAGGGCTCAACCACTGAGCCCCACCGGCTGGGTGCCAGGCACTTTCTTATGTGAGCTGGACTCTAGTTCTTCCTCTCCCCTGCCGTGGCCAGCAGGGGAGCCCAGAGAGGCTGAGTGGTGAGGGCCCTCCCTGGGCTTTGTTCCCCTTTCCCCTCTGCCTGTAGGCAATAGAGGGCTGGCTCACCCTTCTCTGGTCTCCGCTCTTTAGAGTTTGGCCGCATGGCCTCCTCTCTGGGTTGCTTTCTGATTCCCATGGGGATCTCTCACATTTTCTTCTTGCCAGGACACAGCACCTGCCCAGAGCCCAGATGTGTGTTGGATGGGTACAGGAGCCCTGCGAGCCGAGCAGATATGGCCCTCTGCTTCACCTCCCAGGAACGGCTCTGCTCTGGGGGACCACCTGGAGCCTTCCTGTGAAACAGGGGTGCATGACTTCCTGACTGGGCAATCCGGTACTCACCCCCTGGCACTACGACCCCAGCCTTCGCCACAGTTCCCCCACTTCCTGTGGTGTCCTCTTTCCACCATCTGTCCTCTCACCAGAATGCCTTTCCATCCTGGCCCTTAGCTCTGTGTCTTTCTACCTGTTCTGTGACCCATGTTAGCCCAGCTCCTCCTCCCTTGTACCCCCCACCCTCATTCCCTGGCCTCCAGCGCACACTGGGGAAATGAGAAATGGGTGTTTAACAACAGCCCATGCCCACTCCTGGGCCCCGGAGTGCTCTATGGGGGGGAAACAGTGGGCTGCCCCCTCTCATGGCTCTTTCTTCTGCAGATCCTCCTGCTGCACAGGTGCCTGCCCTTTCCCAGGGAGAGGGGTGCCCAGGAGATGCGGTGGCAGCCCAGCCTCAGGTGAGCCACAGGATGTTCAGTCTTTCGTGATGTCCAGGTGTTGCTGCCTGATGGAGCAGCTGCAGCTTTCCTGTGTCCTGCGTCTCTGTGTCCAGTGACCTCACACCCAGAGATTCATGTCCCAGTGACCGAAATATCCCCCTTGAGCCCAGAGCCCTTCTGCTGGGTGGTGGTCTTCTCTTTCACCCTTACCAGGTCCATCCTGTCCTTACTGAGAGCCACCCCATTCCCCTGCCTCCTCCTGAAAGCTGGGAACTGTGGGCCGGCTCTGAGGTAAGGACTGTGTTTTATAGGAGGCTCTGACTTTCAAGGATGTGGAGGTGACCTTCTCCCAGGATGAGTGGGGGTGGCTGGACCCTGCTCAGAGGAACCTCTACAGGGATGTGATGCTGGAGAACTATGGGAACCTGGCTTCTCTGGGTAAGGCATTGCTCCCCCTGCTCTGCCCACCTTTATTGCTGCCTTCTTACTGTTCATTATGGTGCATAGGAAGGGGCCTGACCTGGGTTTACATCCCAGCTCTGTACCTTTGAACCAAAGCAGAACCTTCTCTTGACACACGGGGGTAAGAATGCCTGGCATGCTGGCTTATTGTAAAGATTAAGTCATGTGTGTCAAGTTCCTCTTCTCCTTAGGCATCCCAAATATGTCAGCTGATTTAACTGATTGAGTTGTCATGTGGTGCCCACTGCCAGGGAATCCTAGTGATCCTTTTGGCAGTGACTTCTCTCAGCCTCTCCTGTATCTGCCCAGGGCTGTTAGGAATGGCTGTCTGGGCCTCCTGCCTTAGCTTCCTCCACCTGCCTCCCTGACCTTTCCCTCCTCCCTCCCCAACCCCAGGCCCAAGAGGGTAGTTGTGTGTGACTCATCTACCTTCCCACCCCATCCCCTCCCCTTCTCTTCTGCAGTGGGGCCTCTCACCAAACCTGCTCTGATCTCCTGGCTGGAGGCAAGGGAGCCGTGGGGCCTGAAGGTGGAGGCAGCTCAGCCTAAGGGGAATCCAGGTGCTGCCCCTGCAGGTGAGTTTCAGAGAACCTGCCAGATCCTGCTCTCCCAGCATCTCTTCTCTTCTCCTAAGGCCTTTCTCAGCAAGTCAGTCATGGGGAACTTACTCCACTGTTTGCCAGAAGGAAGGTCCTTATTAGTTTTGCTAAGGAATGCCAGGCCCTGGGCTTCTCCCTTCCAGACTGGCCTACCAGACATTCATTTCTGGCCCTGCCCCTTCCCCAGAAGCACTTTCAGTAACACTCTTGCCCACCGGAGGGCTTCAGTGTTCCTTCTCTGTTTTGTTCATTGATGGTCCTCAGCTCTGGGCTGCACCCCTGTTGACTCCCCAGAGCCTACCCCTTCCTGCTCTTAGGAGCCCTCATTCCACTCCTGCCCCTGTTCTCTGTGTGGCCCTTCCCCCTGTGGTCGGCTTGCTCTCCAGTCCTGTCAGCCAGCCCTCCTTGGAGTCCCAGCCCCGGCTCTGTTTGTACTGTGGTTCCTGTCCCCTCTTGCTATTGACACTCACCTCTCAGCCTTTTCTTTTTTAACTGGATGTGAGTCCTGCGCATGTCTATCTGCAATGCCCGTCTTGCTTCTCCTCCTCCCTGGCCCTCTGGTTCCTGATTCACCCTTTCCTTCTTTGCTAAAAAATTGTAGTAGTACAAAATTGTACTGAAGTTGCCAAAAAATTATAGTACTAAAATTTGTACTAAGTAATTGTAGAATTGAAAATTAAATATTCAGCTGTTCAGTTTTCTTATGATTCCAGATTACCCAGATATCACAAACATATTTCATTTATATTTGAAATTATTGATGCCTTTATTACTTTATATAGGCCTGTAGTATTATCTACTCACAGTCCAGTCGTCCAGGGTCTACAGGTTCCCTACACCTAGAGCTGTGCTCTCACCTTCAGTACTTCTCACACCGTGGCTTCTCAAAATCTTGTCACTGTTCTGTCATACCAGAAACTCTTCCGTTTTATACTTTTTTCTAATCAGAACCTCATAATGTAAATCTCCCTTCAACTCTCATATTTGCCCACAGTGTTTCTCATATTTGATTTTAGGTATTTGCCCTCATTCTCTCTCACCAACATCTTTGCTGAGGATCATGGAAGCATACAGTGTTATGGTGGGAAAGATCTTAAGAGTTCATCCTTTCTAAGGACACAAAGCATCAGACACAAAGCATCTTCCAGGACACAAAGCTTCTGGAAGATCAAACACGCTTTACATCTGGTTTTGCTTTTCACTTGCCCTGCTCACGTGACTGTGTTGCCTCAATATCTCTCTGTCCAGATGTCTCTCCATCCATCCTCTGCTGATCATCTTTGCCCTCTTTTTCTTTCTGTCCATGAAGGAAAACTGGAGCTATTTCTAATTTTCTGTCTTTTTCTCAATGTGTCACCTCCTTCCTTACCCATAACGTGAAGGCTTTTCAGGTAGATAGACTCCTGATGATTCTGTTTCCTCAGTAGGACAAGTAATGAGTAAAAGCTTTTTTTTCCTTCTTTTTGCATCAGGTGAGACTCAGATGGAGAATTCAGAGTTACCTCCAAGGCAGGAGATTTCCAAAGGATCAGAGTCATCTGATGGGACATCAGGAGGCCTATATGGGGAGGTTCCTGGGGGACCAGGAGATGGAAATGCCTGTGAAGATGCTTTAGGGAAGCTAGAAGCACAACCCTCAGAGGAGGAAGGGAGCAGACTGCAAAGTGATTTCCTGGAAATAACACATGAATATAAAAACAAATCCCCAAAAGATGGATGTGATGACTATAAGGACCTTGGGGAACATCAGAATATGTCCTGCAGTCCTGCAGAACATCAGATTCTGAGGGCGCAGAAATTCTTTCAATGTGATGACTGTGGTAAAGCTTTCAATCGGAGTTCACACCTTACAGGCCATCAGAGAATCCACACTGGAGAGAAACCCTATGAGTGTAATGAGTGTGGTAAAGCCTTCAGGCAGACCTCTCAGCTCATAGTTCATTTTAGAACCCACACAGGGGAAAAGCCCTATGAATGCAGCAAGTGTGGGAAGACCTATAGACACAGCTCCCATCTCATTCAACACCAGAGACTTCATAATGGGGAGAAACCATATAAATGTAATGAATGTGCAAAAGCTTTCAGTGAGAGTTACAAACTCTATGACCACCAGAGAACCCATACTGGGGAGAAACCTTATGAATGCAATGAGTGTGGAGCGGCCTTTACTCGGAATAAAAATCTTCTCCGACATCAGGTAATTCATACTGGTAAGAAACCTTACAAGTGTAATGAATGTGGGAAAGCTTTCTGTTTTAATAGAAATCTTATTGACCATCAGAGAATTCACACTGGGGAGAAGCCTTATGAGTGCAATGAGTGTGGCAAGGCCTTCTGTCAGAATAAAAGTCTTATTCGACATCAGCAACTCCACACTGAGGAAAGACCATACAAATGCAGGGAGTGTGGGAAAGCCTTCAATCAGAACTCTCAACTTGTTGACCATGAGCGAATTCACACTGGGGAAAAACCTTTTGAATGTAATGAGTGTGGTAAGGCATTCAGCTTAAGTAAATGTCTTACTCAGCATCAAAGACTTCACACAGGTGAAAAGCCCTATCAATGCACTAAGTGTGGAAAATCCTTCAGTCAAAACTCATACCTCATTATACACCAGAGAATTCACACTGGGGAGAAACCTTATGAATGTAATGAATGTGGGAAGGTCTTCAGCCATAATGCTAGCCTTATGGTACACCAAAGAACCCATACTGGGGAGAAACCCTATAAATGCAATGACTGTGGTAAAGCTTTTAGTGACAGTTCACAGCTTACTGTGCACCAGAGAGTTCATACTGGTGAGAAACCTTATGAATGTAATGAATGTGGGAAGGTCTTCAGTTACAGCTCCAGTCTAATGGTACATCAAAGAACCCATACTGGGGAGAAACCCTATAAATGCAATGATTGTGGGAAAGCCTTTAGTGACAGCTCACAGGTCACTGTGCACCAGAGAGTGCACACTGGTGAGAAACCTTATGAATGTACTGAGTGTGGGAAAACCTTCAGTCAGCGTTCAACTTTGAATCACCATCAGCAAATTCACACTAGAAAGAAGTACTCAGGTCTGGCTCAGTTAGTTTCATAAGGCGTAAGTTTCCAATACAGCAAGGGACGTTGAATTAGGCTTTCTTTACAAAAAGGATGTTTACCCTAATCCTTTCTTGAATTACTAATCAAAGAACCTAAGGAATGTCTGCCTGGTCGTGAAGGTGGAGAGTAGGAGGAACAGTGCAGTCCTTTACTATTGGGGAAGTATGGACTCCACATTTTTTATAATAGTAGGGTTTTTTTTCTTATTTTCTGCTTAAAAATCTATGTCATTTCTTTGTTATGCATCCTATAATCAGAGTGTGTTCTCCTTAGCTACAAAGATTGTATCTTCTTCATTCTATTCCACCTCCCTCATTTCTCATTTTATATAAAGTGATTCTCCAAGACTGATTCACTCTTTTTTATTTGAGCCAAAGCAACATGATGGAAGCAAGATCTCAAATGCTCTCCTTTTTTCCCCTCTTTGCTCTGGCCCTTTTAAAACTTTCCTTTTAATCCAGACCCTCATCACTTGTTCACCACCTAGAAACCCTTTTCTTCTTCCTGTTTGCTAGTCTCCATACCTCAGAACCTTTAAGATCTAGCCCATTTTGGAAAGACTTTCTTTCACAAATGCTTCTTAATTCCTCCTAAACTATTGATTTGGCCTCAATGCTTTGAGCTCACCTGTGTTACAATTTGCAATTGTGGAATTGCCTTGTCATCTGTTCTCCTTAATGTATGTGTGCATACTTCCATACCAAGGTAATGTAGGCTTTTTTTTTTTTTAATATATCTTTATTGATTTTAGAGAGAGGAAGGGAGAGGGAGAGAGATTGAAACATCAGTGATGAGATAGTCATTGATCAGCTGCCTCCTGCATGCCCCCCATTGGGGATTGAGCCCACAACCCAGGCATGTGCCCTGACCGGGAATCGAACTGTGATCTCCTGGATCATAGGTCAATGCTCAGCCTCTGAGCTACACCTGGCCGGGCAATGTAGGCTCTTTGTAGTTGGGTATGGTATCTATTTCTTTTAGCATATAGATAATAATTTTCATATACTCATTGTTAGTCATTTTTAAACCTTAACTCTTCAGTTGAACCATTCTTAAACTGGGCATGAACTTTCCTCCCACCACTGGATCAAAAATTTTAAACATGGTATCATAGGATATTATAATACAAAAATCCTCATTCTTATATTCTACAAGTACCCCTGGGATTCTTTTTTTTTTTTTTTTTAATTTTATAAAAGTTGATTTGAGCCAGTATTTTGAGGACATTCCTGGAAACCCTTGGAGTCTTATTACTATTCTCTCAGCCTCAAAGAGCTAATGGACCCTGGCTGGTGTAGCTCAGTGCTTAGAGCATCAGCACTCACACTGAAGGGTCTCCGTTTCAACTCCTGGTCAAGGGCATATACTAGGGTTGCAGGTTTGATCACCTGCCCTGGTCCGGGCACGTGCGGAAAGCAACCAGTCAACGTGTCTTTCTCACATCAATCTTTCTCTGTTTCCCTCTCTCCCTCTATTCCACTCTGTCTGAAAGTTAATGGGAAAAGTACCCTTGGGTGAGGAGTAACAACAACATAAAAGCTAATGGATTTGTGTTTGTGTGTGCCAGCTTGCATGTGTGTATCTAGGTTTTCCAGGCCGCAGTCATGTCCCACTGATAAGTACTTTTTCCTGCACACTGACTCCACCCAGTTCTGAACTAGCTGGCTCCACCCTGACGCCTAAGTTAACAAGTTAAGAACTGTCTCAAAATTTATGGCAAAGAAGACCCGACTTTTCTGGCTGTGGCAAAGATGATTGAAAAATCCCAATTAAAAACATTCTGGGAAGACTCATTCACAGTGATACAGTTTGTTGCTAAATAATAGAGGTGAAGTGATCTGATTTCCTTACCCACTAGTTCTGTCTACTGCAAGGGCCATCTAATTTCCAGCTGAGAAGTGTTCCCTAAGTTGTCATTTTCTTCTGGACCATCTTTCATATCCAAGGGCATACGAAACAGGAAATCTTTTCAGAGGACAACCTTGAACCATGTTTTTCTTCCTTGCTGTAGGGTTCCAGTATTAGGGGGCCTTTACATGGAGAGAAAGTACCCCCTCCCACCGCCGGTTGTGGTGTTGCTGGGGGAAGAGCCTATCGCGGAAACTAGCATCTGGCTCCCCTCCCTGAAGGGGGCCCAGGGGGAAATGAGTGACCCCTTAACAACGCCTTCCTGCCAGGACGGGTGGGCGGTCAGCTAGATCTTCGTGGTCCCTAAACGACGCCTAGTTTGGGACCCTGTTCTAGGCCCTTGGGGAGGGAGGCCCCAGCGCTGCCCCGCACACGCACTGGGGGGAGGTGGGCACACAGGCCAAGGCTGGTGGAGCGGTGGGGTCCCCACTGGTCATCGGAGGGTGGAGGGCGGGCGTCCGGCGCGGGAGGTGGCGAGCGTCGCCAGGAGCCGGTGGCTCCGACAGCGGCGGGCCAGCCCTGCGCTGGAAGCGGGAGGAAGCCGAGACGTTGGCCCTCCCAGGTTCCTAGAGAGGCCACCGAGGCCCGGGGCTGTGACGCGCGTGCGCGACCCCTGGGCTGCGAGCCGGGCGCGGGGCTGTGGTGAGGCCGGGGGCCGACGGC